TGTATGTATATGTATATGTATGTATGTATATGTATATATGTATATGTATATGTATGTATATATATATATATATATATATATATGTGTGTGTGTGTTTGTGTGTGTGTGTGTGTATAATTTATATTAATATAAAGTCTGAGAGATGAATCTGTTTGCTGATCATGCTTTGGTAGAGTATTACATTTCTCTTTGAATGCAACTATCTGAGTGGGATGACTCAGCTCAGTTAAATTTCACTGGTTCTTAACCCTTCATTGTCCAAAAGGAGAAGTGATTTCCATTATTTCCTTTTATACTACTTGTACTATTGCCAACGTTCTTGATGCTTTCACCATTGCAGCTTGTTAATTCTTCTCATACTTGACCTGTGGAACCAGCGTAGCCATGTCATCCCGGGTGTTGCTACGGCAACAGCTGATGCGGGAACAGGCGCAAGAGCAGGAGAGGAGGGAGGCGCAGCAGCAGGCGTCTGCCGCTCAGCTCCGTCCTACAGAGTCCACTCCCGCCATCTCAGTCACGGTGCCACCCATGGCTGCCCGCCCTCCTCCAGCTCAAGTACCGGTGGAGGTTCTGAAGGTGGGTTTGGACCTTTTTATGTTTCTTCTTAAAAAAAAGTTTCTTGCCTTGTTATACAGTCTATGGCTGTGACACAGCTGAAAGCTGAAAGTTTAAAGCTAGACTCAAAACACTGCTAAAATGAAAATAGCATTGAAAAAGAAACTCGGTAGAAGTTAAATATAAATATCTAAATGCCAGTTTTTGTTATTGTTAATTAAAAATAATTAAAAATAATTTCCATTAACTGAAATAAAATATAAATATTAGATGAAAAACCTGAAACTTAAGCTAGACTAAATTTAGATTATGAAATTAAAAATGTTGCCTTGACAACTAAGGGAAATAAAATATATATTTTTTAATTTGAAGTCCTAAAATAACTAAAACCAAAATAGAAATAAAAATAAATGATAGCTAAATAGAAATATAACAAATGTTTTAAAGAAAATTGCTAAAGACGTGGACTTTGAAGATGCTATAGTTATATAGTTTCCAAACCTATTACAAACCTATACAAATGGTTATAAGAGTTGTTTAAATGAATTAAAATGCATTAAAATTTTACTTAAATTAAATTTTTAATCTGTATATTCTATTACATTATATTATAAATTATAATAGTACTAATCTTAATAATGTGTGTGTATATATGTATTATTAATATATTATTTATTATATTATATGCCAGGCTGTTGTAGAAAAAAAATAAAAAAAATAACTTGTTCTTCAGTGACTTACCTGGTTAAATAAAGGTTAAAAAAAGAAATGATTCTATGATTTAAAAAAAAAAAAAAAAAAAATTAATAAAAAATACTTTAATAATGAGTAATATTTTTAAATATTACAGACAGTTGCAATGGGAGCCTTCGGTGTAGTCAGCTTCACTAAAGTTTTAGTTTCATGTCACATGCATCTAATGTAGACAAGTGTAAGTTCCCTTTTTAATTAAAAGTGACAATTTCCTTACTTATAACTACTGCATGGACAAAAACATATCAATGTGTAGAGCATGAAATGTCACTGACGTCTTTACGTGACCATTGATCCACTGTTTTTACTTTGCTGTAGGTGCAAACTCATCTTGAAAACCCAACTAAATACCACATCCAGCAGGCCCAGAGGCAGCAAGTGAAGCAGTACTTGTCCACTACGCTAGGAAATAAAGTTGCCACACAAACTCTCGGTGTATCCCCTGTTCCACAGTCAAATTCTGCTCCGGAGAGGTGCCCTTCTGCAAGCAGTGCTCCCAACAGTCCAATGGCACATCTTAACCTGGGCTCCAACAAAGAAGAGGTAAAGCACATCTAAATATACGCTGTGTACTGATCATCTCATTCAAATGTAGAAGTTGCTTAAAGGGTCATGAAACCCCCTGTTTCAGCACTGGTTAGTTCTCACCACAGTTTTAAAAAAACGCTAAAAAAGTGGGCGTGGTGCGCTGCGGAGCAGAGGGGGAAGAGACAGAAAACACGGACAACTTTGGTTTTCAGGTTTCATTTCGCTCCCATTGAGTTCAAAACACAAATAAATGCACAGCCATTTGCTCTATCTGCATCGAAAACGTATATATGAACGCGCTGTTGCACCTTTTAAGGCTTATTCTGCTGCATTAATATAAGCCTTTTGACAGGTTGTGTCACGGAGCTGTAAAAACGGTTACACTCACACACAGTGAATGAATCGCATCATGTTGTACTATAGTCCTTTGCCACGTCACAAATTGTGACGTCAACACGATGTAGATTTTAAACCCGGAAGATGAAAATAGCGCAAAAAAGCTTCAAATTAACCAGTTTTCTCCAACAATTAAAATGAACGGATGCTAACATGGTCCTCTATGATGTGCAACACAAACACCTCTGCTAAAATCTCAAAAAAAGTAGTCTGGGGTTTCCTGACCCTTTAAAGGCCAGTTAACACCAAGAATGAAAACTGCATTGGCGCACAAAAACATTCTATTGCTGTTATGTCGTCTGCCAGTTTTAATGCTTTAGCTCAGTGGTGGCGAACTCCGGTCCTGGAGAGCCGCAGCCCTGCAGAGTTCAGCTCCAACCCTAATTAAAACTCACCTGCCTGTAGCTTTCTCGTAACCCTTCAGACCTTGATTAGCTTGTTCAGGTGTGTTTGATTAGGGTTGAAGCAAACTCTGCAGGGCTGCGGCTCTCCAGGACTGACGTTCGCCACCCCTGCTTTAGCTCTTTAACGCCAAGTGGATTCAATGTTTTTATTGTTCATCAACTAGAAAAAAATGTGAAAACCTTATTGTTTCCTATATGTCGTTACTGTTATACTTGTTTTGTGGACTTCAAATTCCACTATTATTAAAAACGTTCTAGTTATAGTATTAGTTATAGTTATAGTTATCGACATCGTCATTTGTGCAAACAGGCCTTTATCACTTTTTTTCTCAGGTTTGGAAAGCTTAAATCGAAAGTAGTATTTTTTAATATTTTTATATTGGATATTAAATGACGACCAAACACAGCATCAGAATTGTTTATTATACAACAGTAAACAAAAATGTCTTTAAAATGACACAGTGGATTTACACAGAAATACAGCGGAAGTGTTTTCTCCTCCCTTAAAGTTGCTTAGCCTATTTTACTATTTTACTCTCCTAAAATGCACAATTATTTGTTGCATAGTTAAATTTTATTATGTTCATTTTGCATTTTTAACACTGTCTGCGACCCTATAAAAATATCTGCCCACCAGCTGAGAAATATACTAATGGAGGCTTTTCACACTTTTTCCTGTTTTTTACTTATCTCTGCTGAAATGTACATTCATATTCTTCCTAACAGCAGTAACACTTTAAAAAATAAGGTCTTATTATTTAACATTAGTTAATACATTAACTATCGAAATATATTAAGAATTAAGAATCAAGTTCATTGGTTCCCCAAATACATACATGTTTATAACCCAGTTTGTTTAATTATGTAACACTCAGTTACATGACAGTACTCATTCTAAAACTTGATTGCATCCCCTCAGATGGATGATGTAATCGACGACATCATCAGCCTTGAATCCAGCTTCAATGATGACATCATGTCACTGATAGATTCTGGCCTGCAACTCCCAAACACGGTAAGCTGAGCGATCGTCTTCATTATTGATGGATACTTCCATAACATTACGGCAATGTTCTGAATAAAAGCCTCTTTGAACCGCAGCAGTATTTGTGGTAAACCAACACAAACCATTTTGAAAGCTACAGAGAGATTATTTCCGGAACGTAAATGTCCCCACCCCTCTTAAGAGTGAGTGCTAACTACTGCACTTATGAGGGAGGTGATAAATGGGGATGCACCTCAGCAATCGACATAAACATTTTACACTTTACTAACACCTGCAAGGCAGGAATCAACAGGGAGGGCACAAAAAGGACTGTGAATGGAGGATTGTACAGAGCATGCAGGGGCTTGGCATGGGATAGAAAGAACTTGGGAAATATCTGGTGAAGGATTTAACTTGGATTTTTTTTTTATGGAGGAAGGAGTAAAAGTGAATTGACATAAAATGAGGATTTTAGTTTTATTGCGGGAGCATGAAAAGAAAAGAAAGGTACAATCTCATTCTTGAATTTATTAGCCTTTATTCTTAAAGAATTCCATCTTGAATCGCTGCGGTTTCAAACTAAAATAATGTTTTTATTGTAATTTATTTGTAATATATTTCATTATAATGTATAAGGAACATTTACATAATTAAAGTTATTTTAGTTAATAATAATGTTAACTATAATAATTTGTCTGCAGGTTTTTTTTTTTGCATCTGTGTAAATATTATGAAAAATTCAGTAATTGAATTGCATGTAATAATACAGTCACACATTTTTGTAGAGGTTATTTATAGCTAGGTGCTTGGACAGTAGTATACTTAATGCTAAAGTGATATATTATTTAGGCTGATGTGATCACCATATCCTGCTGTTAGGTGCTTGGACAGTAGTATACTTACTTAATGCTAAAGTGATATATTATTTAGGCTGATGTGATCACCATATCCTGCTGCAGCAGTTCAATGTTTTAAAGGTTTTTGATTCATTTTCTCCTCCATTTTATTATCTTAGCTACCAGGCAACCTTCTGGATGTCTACAACAGTCCTGGCATGACGACCCCCACCATCACCGTCAGCAATTCTTGTCCAGCAGATCTGCCTAATATTAAATGGGAATTAACTGGTAATGATTTACTCAGCCCAGCTTCTGTATTTCATTTGTTTGAGTTGTTTGTAGTGTGGTAGTTATAACAGCTGTTTATTTTCAGACGCAGAGGCCAGGGTCTTCATGAAGGAGAGGCAAAAGAAAGATAATCACAATCTCAGTGAGTTCAAAAGACACACGCTCTGGTAATATACTGCTTGTATACTGTGTCATTGCATGGCTTGGTCTCAATAAGTGTTTTGCTTTGTGCAGTTGAACGGCGGAGGAGATTCAACATAAATGACAGAATAAAGGAATTAGGAGCTATGATACCCAAATCCAATGATCCGTAAGTTTCTTTCCTTGAAACTTGAAGCTTTATGGCACTTTTTTTTTTTTTTTTAGAGAAACCACACATAATGTTGCAAAAAACATTTTTACATCAGGCTCTTAGTGATTTAATTCTGTTTTTAAATTGAATGGCATATCAGCAGCTCTTGAACTACTGCTATTTTGTTTTAAAATGAAAAAAAAAAAAGTTCAAAAGTTTGGGTCAGTCTTTATTTTCAGAAAGAAATTAATGCTTTTATTCAGTAAGGATGCATTAAAATGGTCAAAATTGACAGTAAAGGCATTTATAATGTTACAAAAGATATATAAAATACAAAGAAATGCTGTCCAAATAAATGATTCATGGTTTCCACAAAAATATTTTAAGCAGCACAACTGTTTTCAACAATGATACTTTTTAAAATACATTAAAACAAGATTTTTTTTTTTTATTGTAATAATATTTCACCATATTACTGTTTTTGCATACTATTTACATCTTGTCTGGTTAAAATTGCAGGGAGATGCGCTGGAACAAAGGAACCATTTTGAAGGCTTCTGTTGATTATATAAGAAAACTTCAGAAAGAGCAACAGAGGGCCAAAGAGATTGAGATGAGGCAGAAGAAACTGGAGCAATCCAACCAGTCCCTGCTGCTCCGCATACAGGTATATGATCAACAGTCATTTTGAAATACAGTACAAAGTCCAAACAAGGATGTTCGATTTCCTGTCTGTAGCCAAAAACACATAATCCCATACTAATATCTTCACCTCCTCCACCAAATTATCAATATTTATTAATTTTCCATTATGCAATATTTCACCTGCAGGATGGCATGAACACGCCATCAACATAAATGTGAATGTAAATACAGCAAAACTGAACACTGTGATATCCTGTAAAAAGATGGACTCCAACACCCCCTGCTGTTTGTTGCACACAGGAATTAGAGATGCAAGCTCGTCATCATGGCCTCTCCAGCGCTATGTCTCCAGGCCTGAGCGCAGACGCTTCCTTCCTTCAGCAACAGCTACTACAAGGAAACCAGTCCATGCAGCCTGGCTTTGTGGAAGGCCAATCTCAGAGCCACCTCAGCATGGATGGAGTCATGACGCAGACTTCTCCATTCCTCATAATACCTTCCTCCAGCTCTCCAGCTGCTGCAGCAGTAAGCGGCCCTCTCAATCTGGATACGTTTAGCTTTGCGGAGCTGGACGATGCTTCGGCCTCTGATCTCTACCCTGACGTGGGTCTTAGTGACATTCTGATGGATGACGGCTGCACGATGCCCACCGTCAGGCCTTCAGATACACTCTTCTCCCCGGTGTCCTCTGGAGCCTCCAAGACCTGCAGCCGCAGGAGTAGTGTGGCCATGGAGGACGACTTGTGACCGAACTGACCACTAAAATGTATGTTTCTGAGCTTTTCCTCGTGTGGGACGCCATGGGATGATTTTAAAGAGATTGTTCACCCAAAAATGAAAATTCATGTTGTTCCAAACCTGTATGACTTTCTTTCTTCTGTGGAACTTGAAAGAAGATATTTTGAGAAATGAACTCAGTGGTTACCAAAGCTGATTGGTTACCAACTTTCTTCAAAATATCTTCTTTTGTGTTCTCCAGAAATGCCACATTTTTGGTGGACTATCCCTGGAAACACTCCACGTGTTGTGCTGTCTATATATCAGTTAATTAAAAAAAATAATAATTTAACTATAGTATTACACAGTTTTGTAGGCAGTCAGAGATCCCAAAGGTTTATCCCAAATTCGAAACACATCCAAAACAATTAGCCTTTTTGTAGCTAAAGTTTAGGACATTTTAGCCTTTCTATGAATAGCTGTGTTGCTCTAAGCTTTAATCATGTGATGTTTATTATTGTTTTAGATATGTGTTTTTAGACTCTGCATTCAGAGCATGCAAGTGCACATATATATATGATTTTGGAGTGTGGCGTGAGTAGTCACTTATCGCACCAAAGGGATGTTTCCCAGTTGTTTGATAGCATGAACTCATTATTCATATTATGTTGAAAAAGTTCAAGCAATATTTCTGCATATATCAGAAAATGTTATTTTTTAACACTCTTTGCTGGCTTTACTTTCAGCCAAGTACTTGCATATTTACTACTAACTGGTTTGAAATTTCGACATTTTATTTGTTAGTTTACAACACTTCCTTTTATGGTTAGTTAGTTTGACCTTCTTCAATGTTACATTGCTAAACAAATGTGTGATGGTGCAGGTGCTCATACATGATTTTTGGTAACACTTTACAATAAGATAAATTTGTATCTTCAATTAATTCAGTAGCATTACTTAATACATCAGGTATCATGAAAAAACATCCATTTCTACATATACTAATTAATTTTAAAATATATAGTAATACATTCTAAAAATTTAAAATGTATAAATAAAATGTAATTATGGACTAATATTAACAATGTACTGTACAGTAGTATATTTATAAATTAGCATTTAAGATTTATTTATGTTGTAAAAGTTGTTGGTCATTGTTAGTTCATGATACCATGACGCATTAACTAGTGTTAATGAATTTTGCGTAAAGTGTTACCGATTTTTAGGATGATATAAGGAAACAAGCCACATAAACATCATACACAAATAGCTTTTCAGGTATAAAATGTTACAAGCTACCTCTGCCTAAAGTGCTTTTTTTAACCAGTAGATCTAAATCAGCAATTTGTTAGATGCAGCTAAATACACACTTACCTGCGTATGTAAATGTTATGAAAATGAACTTACAAATCTGTGTTGTGCTCAGAAATATGACATTAAGAGTACTGCCGGTAAAAGCCAAATGAAGTGTCCTCTCTGATCAAACTGTGCCTTTAGCATAAAGGAACAAAAGTCATTTGTTTGGTTTGTAAATATAGAAAAATGAATACAAATGAGTCTTGAAAGGTTTAAAAGTTGTTCTCTATTAATACTGCAGCAATTCAAATGAATGTTTAATATAAAACTATATGATTCAAAGCTAAATGCAGACTTGTAAAATATATTTAAAAACTTGAATGTGAATGTGATTGCAGTTTCCCTTTTTTCTGTCAAAGGCACAGAATGGGACGTAAGTTTGAAATGATTTAATTGTGTGAAGTCACACAGCAATAATGTTTTTTATTGTCTCATTTGCTGACAGTGCAGTTAGAAATAAGCATTAAGACATATTTCCACTCATTAAAACTAAATGGCCAGTTATTGTTCTGTTGCTGGTGTGTGTCATTGCCTTTACTTTCATTACATCTGTACTCAAATAAAGGGAAGGTGTTGTTCTTTTTTGTAAACCAGTTTTTTCAAAGCACATAATTTATAATTGAGAGAAACTGTATTTTAATTAGGATTTTCCTGTGTGTTGGTGGCCTTTAATTGGCTAAAATAAACTGATGAGAAAAAAAATCAAATGTCATTGACATTATTTAAACATGTTTTTCAGTGTTTGCCATTTGCATATTCACTTCCAGTATTATCTCAAAATTAATTTAATCTGCTAGATTTGATGCGCAAATGATCTAGGTAAACAAATCTAGTACTTATGTATACACTGACTTGCATACAGTATACATATGAAGAATTCATTTGCAAAAACAGATAACTTCAAAAATATATATTTTTTAAATCCTGCATTCCAATTAATATCAATCAAACTGCAGTTGGGTTGTTTTGATTAAATAATAATAACTAAAAAATACAGCTAACTAACACAACAAAACACACTAAAAACATAACACAATAAAAAAAACATGATTTATGAAAATTAATAAAAACAGTTATCTGTTTTTGCAAATAAACTCTTCATATACATTGAAGCATATTCATTTCACACAAAGGACCTTTAAAAAAATCAAGACCGCTGTTTTATATTTTTAATTCAAGGACAGAATATAACATGTTTAGTATAATGCAGTCTCACATTGCCAAATCATTATTGCATAACACAAAATTGGCCAATAAATTTATTTTAGCAATTTATTTTCATTATATATATATATATATACAAAACAAAACTTTTTACCATTTCAATATCATCTGGTTCAGGTGACAAGTAAACAGCATAATGCAATCTCACATTGCCAAATCATATCATGAATTTGTTGCATAACACAAAATTAGCCAATAAATTTATTTTAGCAATTTATTTTCATTATATATACATATGTATATATATATATATATATATATGTGTGTGAGTATATATATATATATATATATACAAAACAAAACTTTTTACCATTTCAATATCATCTGGTTCAGGTGACAAGTAAACAGCATATGATTTTTTTCCTCTAATGCAGTATCAAATGCAGGCGTGCAGTATCACAGCCACAATCAACCAGCAGATTTACATGCTTGTGAAATCAGCACATAACATTTGCTACATTCCATTCCAGCTTTATGTGATTGTCATGAGTAGTACATAAATGAGTGTGAGATGTCATGAGCAGCTAGTGAAACAGAAGCTGAGAGAGTTCCATGCCTAGTTCCAGACACTCAGTCGTCTGTAGACAGAGATCGCAAATGGAGCAGTCAAAGGTGTTTTCTCCACAACTACAGCCGCAAGCCTCCATGTATTCAGTGCAGCTGCAACATGGGCAAAAATCTATAAAGTCCTCCAGATTGGAAGGGTCGCAACAGCATGCGTTAGAGCAGAAGGACGAACAGATAGAGGCCACGCAGTATTGACATCCATCACCAACGGCCAGCACGCAATCCCAAACCTTGCAGAACAAACACGCCAACAGAAAGGATGCACACAGGTCTAGAAGTGCAAAGAAAAAGCAAAAAAAAAAGTTTTTAAGATTAAATGTTTATTCTGCATTCAATACAAGATAAGATAGTCGACATCTGTGGCATAATGTTGATTACCACAAAAAAATTATTTCAACTTCATATCTGTATTTTTTTTCTTTTCTTTTAAAAAGCACACATTGAGGTTATGGTGAGGCATTTACATTAAAAGTATATGAGGCCTTATAATAATCAGCTTATAATTTTATAAAAGCACTTACATTAATTCTGTTAAATCTTGTGTATTATTTGAGCTGCAAGCTGTTTAAAGGTATAGTTCAACTAAAAATGACAATTTACTGAAAATGTACCCACCCTCAGGTCATCCAAATTGTAGATTGTTTCACCTAAAGATTTGAAAAATGTAGCATTGCATCACTTGCTCACCATTAGATCCTCAGTGAATGGGTGCCGAGAGTCCAAACAGCTCATGAAAACATCACAAAAATCCACAAGTAATCCAAACAACTCCAGTCCATCAATTAACATCTTGTGAAGTAAAAAGCTGCCTGTTTGTAACAGCCAAATCCATCATTAGGATTTTAACTTCCTCTATCCATAATAATGCTTTCTCCAATAAAAAGTCATCTAGTGTGATTCTGGAGAGAAATATGCTCAGATCAAGCACCATTTACAGGCAAAAACAGTCCAAAACAATATGGCCATGAAGCAATGGTTTAAAGTTAAAATGTCTTAATGACGGATATATTTTTCACAGACTATGTTTTTTGCTTCGCAAGATGCTAACTGATCAACTGGAGTTGTGTGGATTACTTGTGGATTGTTGTGATGTTTTTATCAGCTGTTTGGACTCTCATTCTGACGGCACCCATTCACTGCAGAGGATCCATTGGTGACCAAGTGTAATGGTACATTTCTCCAAATCTGTTGTGATGAAGAAACAAACTCATCTACATCTTGGATAGCCTGAGGGTGAGTATGTTTTCAGCAAATTTTCACTTTTGGTGAACTATTCCTTTAAATCGTAATTTTACAGTTTTTTAAGCATTACATTGTCATAGCAACAAAGGTTTCACATTTATATAACTTTACACAGAAAAAAGTCAGAAACTGATTTTCACAATAAAATCATGTTAACACAAATAGTTTACGTCTTGTTGCTATACTATTAAAACAGTGATTGGCCTCATTCACTTACTTTACAGTGCCTCACTGTAAAGTAACTCACTGATTTTTTTTTTTAAAGAAAAGTCTAAATTAATTTTTGTGTTAATCAACACTATTATGACACAAGTGCCGACTGAGCTTAACTTGTATTGAACCTAGAATATTCCATTAATGGCTGAATCACTGACAAAATATTGATGTGGTAACCACAAATAAAGCAGCTTTGCTAACAGTATAGCTCATCATAAAACTGCTATCCTGTTTTGTAAGCTTAAGAGCCTTTATACTACTAATCAGCACCACACCAAGTTTGGTGTGCATCCTCATCAATTTATCATCATAATTACGATAAAAGATGACAGGAAGAGGGAAAGCTCGTCAGTCGTGCTAGCGAGGATTTCAGCATCTATAATGCATTAGATGTCATAAAAATTGAATCCCTCATTTCATTGAGTCAAATGTAATTTGAGGTGTTGCTTACCTTCAACAGGGGCTTTCAGGCTCATACGACTCAGTGTGGAGGTGGAGGACCGGCTGATTTTGCGATGACGGTGTGTTGCTTTATAAGCGGTGATATGTGACTTTTTAAGATGATTTGTGGCTAGCTGAACGCAGACAGGAAAAGCATCGCTGATGTTACTGCCAGGTGGGTTTAGAACATTCTGAAATTGCTTTGTCACATCTTTTGGGACTTCTTTGATATGCACATCTATAAAAAAAATGGAAATTCTAATAATAAAGTTATTTGGATGTTAGTTTAAAAAACGAATGGTAGTGTGAAGGACATTTACCAAATGCTAGTGGTTTCGATTTGCAAAGAGGGGAAATAAGACATAAGTTTTCCTTCCCAGAAAGTTCATCAGTTGGTGATAATTCACTATCCTTTAGACATGTTCTAGTAGATTCCAAGTCTTTTACATCAGATGACTCTGTAAAATAAATAAACCACACTATTAGTTGCTCTTTTCCTCTATACTGAAGTATTAAAAGTGAATAGAAAAGTCTTACCAGTGTGTTGAAAAGCTGATGTACTAAGAACTGAACTATTTTGCAGCTCATCTTCACGAAAGTTGGATTCCGATCCAGTTGGTGACCGGCCACCGTGTTCATCCTCATGGTCACAGTCCATCTTTTCAAACTCCTCTCACTGTATTCACTACAAGAAGAATAAGTGTAAAGATGTAGAGTGAAAATGCCAGAGCATTTGAACTCTTAACTATGTCATTAAATATTCAAACAGGAAGCAAAGAAAATAGATGTGCTGTAGTCTGTGGCATATTTTAAATACTAATGGTAAACTGTAAAGGGAGAAAGCTAATTGATCACTTGACATGTTTTTATGTTACGGAACTAACAGTTAATAATGCGTTTCACTTTCCCTGTTTTGTGACAAACAAGACTAC